ACCTCCTCCTAATTTGTATCTGACTTTAACTTTCTGACAGGAAGCCAAGGTTTATCTATAAACATCCAGGCTTGAGCAAGTTCAAACAAAGTGTTTCTAATTGTAACTTGCCCTGCTTTTTATTTAATAGAGTTCCTTTGTAAGGGTCGGGATAAGTATGTATATTCAGGCTTAAAAATACACCTGTCAACAATATTTCAAGACATCATAATTTTATTTTATGTATAGGTCTTAAAATTACAGACTTTGCAATTGATTACCTGAATCTGACCAACCAGCTCTGCAACTCATAAGCTGAGTGACTTGATGCTTTGTTTCCCCTTTATCTACATGGGAAGACTGAAAACATGTCCCTCATATCTCATTGTGGGCATTTATAAAGGTGTTGGGAGGATTCTCCCAGGATGGGAGAAGCATGCCGAAAGTAGACTATAGACTAAACATGATTGTCACCCATTGCCTCTTTTGCAAACCACAACACCCAATAAGAGAGAGAGAACAAAAGGGAATGCCCTGCCACAGAGGCAAGGTGGGATGGGGGGATGGGAGGTGGGAGGGATTCTGGGATCTGTGGTGGTGGGAAATGGGCACCGGTGGAGGGATGGGTACTTGATCATTGTATAATTGAAATCCAAGCACAAAAATGTGTAAGTCTGCAACTGATGTCTCACTATTAAAAATTTGTTTAATAAAAAAAATATTCTCCACCACATACACACAAAAACACAGACATACACACAGAGAACTGTTTTTAATATATAATAGTTATTATTCGTCGATTTCCTCGAGCAGGGCCCGGTAACGTCTCATTCATCCTAGCCCTGAGACTATATTCAAGGCTCTTTAGGAGAATGAGACCCATAATTGTTACTGGTATTTGGCATATTGGGTACGCCACGGGGAGTTTGCCAGATTCTGCCGTGTGGGCAGGCTACATTCGGTTAGCCTGCCAGTTTGTCCAAAGAAGGAATGAGAAAATAAGATGTCATAATAAGATGTCGCACGGCCGCGAATGCGGCCGCGCAGTTCCGGGAGCTGGTTTTTACAGTCTCTGAGTCTTGGCCGTTGATGGGATTACACAGCGCCAGGGGGCCAGTTGGTGGGTGTGACCCCCGCCTACTGGAATTTGGAACATCTGGGTGGAGGATGCTCAGCCCCAATCAGAGTAGGCTTGGAGATCTTGGCCCCGGAACCCACGTGACTTTGTCCCTCTGCCAGTACCTTAATGTGTGCCGAGAGTGCTCTCAGCATGGTGGTGGCTGGTCCTGGAGGTCTTTGGCTGCCGGAGCCCTGGTCGGGGCAGGGAGGAAAGCTCAACCTGCTCCCCTCCAAGGGGCCCCGGTGAGGACAGCCAGGCGCAGGGGCAGGAGACTGCCAAATCAATACATTCTTGAGAATACAAAATGCTACAACTGTCTACCAGCAGAAGTGGTGCCTGCTGGAGATCACATGATAAACGGAATCTTAGGCCATATTTGAATCACAGTGAGCATAGGTGGTCTATACATGCCACCCAATTCCCAATTCCAATATATATATATATATATATATATATATATATATATTAGTTAAAAAACAAATTACCTTTGATAATAAAGACAACACACTTACAATGGATGGGAATGTAGACAACAGCTGATCCATCTAATAGTCTATATAGAAATACTAACCATGTCATTGGTAAAGTCACAACACAATGATCAAGGACATGGAGAATGATCATTGATAATTTAGTGACTTTTTCCCAATAAAAAATTAGTGTTGGTATGGGAAATTCCTAATCAATGTGAAAATGCCAAGTCAGTCTCCAACATCACATTCATCTCTATGAGGACTCAGATTTCCATTTGTATATCAATAAGTTCATAACTTTTAAAATATTTTTTAATTCATTTGTGAATCAGTTTACTTACTGAACATTTTGGAAAAAGAAGATGGCAGATTCTTGTTTATATTTTTAACAATTGCATTTTGCCCATGAAAGTTTCCTCTTAACTGGAAGCCAAATGATTTTTTTTTTAGGGAGCCAATAAGCAAAATGATGAAGTTTGTCTCCTTTATTGGTATCAGATGTTATAATCTAAGGAATTTAAATACAATGAGAAAACAGGAGTGGCAAAGAAAATAATTATATAACCTAATATTCAAAATTAAGCTAAACAGATGTGCAGATAGCCTCTTTGAAAAGACACTCTTTCATAGAAAACCAACTGTTTTATTGCAGAAGTAGGAAACTTCTGTATATAAAAGAATTCTGGACATCAAAGAAAGAACTTTAAGTAACGGATCAGAAGATCTGATGCCTCATGGTCTCCTGAGCATACTCAAATTCCAGCTTCCATTATACTATGTTTACTTAGCTTTGATTTTCCCATTAAACTCTGACCTGTTTAAAACCTACTGCATATCACAGTGCCTTGTGAAATGGTAAAATGCTAGGGTTATTAAGGAAGTAAACAAAACATAATTATTGGGATATGTAATATAATTTTTAAAATATCAAAATCTGTATAATGAAGCACCAAAGTGATCCCTGGAAAAAATTTTAAATCATTATCCCCACCCCCTCACACCTCTTTCCTATAGCTTTAGTCAGTACAATCTGACATAACACTTTGCCTTCTGTACTTAACTATTGTTTTTAGCCAAAGCAACTTGATTAATACTCGATTCAACTTTTTTCAAATGCAAGCAGCACTTGTTAATTCTTTAAAAAACATTCACTATGAGAAATTAAGGCATTTACTGTTCAACTTCCTGGGAAGATAGAATAAGTTACTTAAATTTTCTGTAAATATTGAATTCTTAATAATAAAAATCAAGTCAGTCCCAAAGAATTAATATAGCCACCACAGAAACCTAATTTTCTAGGGAGCCCTGAAATTCTGACTCATTATGTAAGAGATTATGCTTAATAACCTAGATAATTTGGCAATATATGCATTCACTTTATGATTAAGTCTCCCTACCTACACACACACCCACAGATATCCTTATGCAATGGCCTGATGGAAGAACAGAAAGTGGCTGCCTGAACCTGAGAGTATCTTTTTTACTATTAAAGCCATGATCTGACTCTTAAGAAATTATGTTCTGCAATAACAGACACTTGACAATCAAAGAGGAAATGATTTCCAGTACATCTAACTATAGCGGTCCCTGACCTTTTGAGGGGTGGGTGAGTAGTATTGGGGTCACATCTGGCATTATTTAAGCACTAATCCCAGATTCAGTTCTAGGGCAAGTGGGGGAAGGTCACTCGGTGGTGCCTGTAAGAACACTGTGGTCCAATGATTGAATTAGAGACTGTCACATGCCACCCATTCTTCATTTTTAGTTTCCTTGATACTTAATTATGGATCACTCCCAATTGTCCTAGGGGATCCAGGTCATAGCTGTTCGTTGCCTGAGATCAAAAACGGGGTCTCACACAATGAGACATATTCTCTACTGTTGACCTATTTTCTTACCTCACATTTGCATGCACTTTTTAGAGGGGCCACACCTAATAGGTCTCAATGTGTCACACCTAGCAAGGATTGGGGGAAGCATGTTAGCATGAGTGTGATCACTGAGCTATCTCTATGGCCTCCATTCTTCGTCTGAAACTGGATTTTTGTGGTTATTTTCCATACAATAGACTCCAGTTTAAAAAAGTGAAGCATTGCTCAAGATGATATTGATACCCTAACTTCTCATTCTGTCATTTGTTAAAAAAAAAATGTGTTCCCCCCCAGGCAAATTCTTTCCCAGAGGTAGCATTTATTAATATTTGAGTTATTTTTCTCAGCAAAACTACATTTACTCTATGTGACTCTTCCTTTGGTAAGAGACTTGTTTTGTTAGAAAATGGCTTTTTTAAATTTATTTATTTACTTTTTAAATTTTATTAGTGAACCACCATGAGGTACAGTTGTAGACTTACAAATTTTTGTGCTTGGGTTTCAATTTACAAGATCAAATACCCATCCCTCCACCAGTGTGCCCGTTTTCCACCACCACTTATCCCAGTATCCCTCCCACCCCCCATGCCCCTCATCCCACCCCGCCTCTGTGGCAGGGCATTCCCTTTTGTTCTCTCTCTCTCCTTTTGGATGTTGTGGTTTGCAAAAGAGGCATTGAGTGGCAATCATGTTCAGTCTATAGTCTACTTTCAGCATGCTTCTCCCATCCTGGGAGGATCTTTCCAACACCCTTTATTTGGTGCTCCCTTCTCTATCTGAGCTGCCTTTCCCCCTAGCATGAAAATGGCTTTTATACTTATTTTCCTTTATACTTTTATTAGGTAAAAAATATTTTTGGAAGTTTTATTTTAATTTTATTGAATTACCATGAGATAGTTGTAAGCTTTCATGTTTGGGTTACAATCATACAGTGATCAAACACCCATCCCTCCACCAGTGCACATTCCCCACCACCAATATCCCCGGTATACCCTTCCCCCTTTCCCACCCTCCCCCTGCATCTATGGCAGACAATATTCCCCATACTCTCTCTCTACCTTTTAGAATTATGGTTTGCAATACAGATACTGAGAGGTTATCATGTTTGGTGTGGTATCTACTTAATTTTTATAAGCATTTAATCATCTAGAGCTATAGAGTTAAGGACGTTATTTTAGTTTATCGCTAATAGATACTGAAGGTCTTGGGCATTTCTAATGTTTACTAAAATCTAGTCAAATGTCTTGCTCTTCAAGATTGTGTTCTTTCTTGTACATTATCCTTCCTTGCTTTCCTCTATGTCTCTGCTTGCTTTTTCCACTCTAGAGAAATCCAGGGTATTGTCTCTTCAATATGTGCTTTCTTTCCTCTCACATCTGTCTAATTTTTATTCAATAAAAACTATATTTCTTCTCTAAAAAAATAAATAACATAAAATCTAGTGAACTTTATGATAAATCGAAGGTCACTTCCAATGAAATAGTCCCCCTCTGAAGCAATCTTTATTGTTAAAAACAATGCTATTCCATCTGTTTTATTTATCTTATTTATTTACAGAATGTCAGTACTGGGGCTCAGAGCTCCAGCTACCTACACTAAATTTTGAAGATGTTTTAAAAAATGACGAGCATGCATACAAGTGGCTCTTCAACCTCAAGAAAGTGGGCATAGTGAGACTCACAGGAGCTTCTGACAAACGAGGAGAAATTTTAAAACTTGGAAAAAGGATTGGTTTCCTTTATCTCACATTTTATGGGTGAGTCACCAAATAGTTTTTGTCATTATGAATAAAGCTTGATATATTTTATTTTACAGGAGAGGTATTCTTTGATTAGATATGCCAAACTTTCCATGATATCTTGAACAGGAAGTCATACAGGACGATGTACCTAAAGGTGTGATTTCTTAAACAAGAAATCCCAAGAAATGGCTTATATTGGAGCTAAGGGGTAGTTATTGGATTATACCCCATACTTGGTTATGCTCAGGACTTTTTCCTGGCTCTATATTAAGGACACTCCTGTTGATGCTCAGAATACCATATGCTATGTTGAGGATTTGAACCAAGGTCAGCCACATGCAGAGCAAGAGACTTAACTCCTGAATAATCTCTCCCACTTTAGATTGAAAAATTTAGCACTGTAGCACTGTCCTCCCATTGTTCATCGATTTGCTCAAGCAGGCACCAGTACTGTCTCCATTGTGAGACTTGTTGTTATTGTTTTTGGCATATTGAATGCACCACGGGGAGCTTGCCAGGCTCTTCCATGCAGGCAGTATACTCTCAATAGCTTGCTGGGCTCTTCAAGAGGGACAGAGGAATCGAACCCAGGCCAGCCACACGCAAGACAAACGTTCTACCTGCTGTGCTATTGGGCCACTGAAAAATTTAAATATTATAAATATTATAAAATAATATATAATAATATAATACAAATATTATAAAATGCTGAAGGCATTAAATATTTGGGGAGTTGGCATAGGGGGTTGGGGGCTTATAGGTGACACCTGAACTGTGCTCAGGGGATCATATACAGAAGGAGGGATTGTGCCAGAGTTGGCTGCTTCAGTGTAAGTGCCTAAACCTCTGTACTTATTCTCCAGCCCCCAGGCTAAATTATGTTAGTTACTAGGACTATCATAACAGAAATACTAGATATCTTTAACAACGAAACTTTATTTCCTCATAGTTTTGAATGCAGTGAAGTTCAGAATGAAGTTCACAGTTCAGAATGCAGTGAAGTTTGATCAAGGGGCAACTAGGTTAGGTTTCTAAGAGTTCTTGTTTGGGTTTGCAGATGGTCACCCATTTTGTGTTCACTTAGCCTTTCCTCTGTGCTGCGGTATTCCTGGAATCTTTTTCTCTTCTTAGAGGAACAAATCAGAATCACACATTTATGACTTTATTTAACTCCAATTGTCACCAAAAAGACCCAAGTTTTCACCTATAATCATACTTCAGTTAATGCTTCACGATATGAATTTGGGGGAACACAATTATGTCCCTAATTGGTAGGATGGAAGTTTTTTTTCTCTGAGATATTTATAAAATACTCAGCTTTACCAATGTTTACATGTATTGAATTTTTACCTTTAATGAAATGGATGCAAAATAAAGTCAGACATTAGGAATCTGACACTTGCCATTAGATTAGTAAAACCAAACCAGAAGTTAAAACTAACATGCAGTGCCAGAGAGACAGAATAGTGGATAAGTCACTTGCTTTGTAAGCTGTTATCTCAAGTTTAATCTCTGGCAAGATATATGATCTCCTGAGCCCCACCAAGAGTGATCCCTGAGCACAATGTCACAAGTGAACAGTGAGCACAGCAGGGAGTGGCCCAAATTATTCCCACCCATTCTGAAAAGAAAATTAGCATACTAAAAATTAAGTCTATACCTTTTAGCAAATAACATGAAATGTAATTGATTACACTTTCAAATAAAAAAATGCTTTCATAAAAATTGCCTATAAAGTAGCATTCATTATATTAATTATGGATACTGAAACACTAATAATATCAAACTTTGCTCTGGAAATAAGGGTTTGAATAAATTTCTAGTTTTTATGGGAAGACCCCTTATTGAGATGTATATTATTATTTTTGGCTTCATAGAGCAGAAGACTTTGGAAGTGAAACAGTCTTCAAAATCCAAAGGTTGAAAACTGGTAGCATACTGGTTGTAGCCAGATATATTTTATTTGGCCCATCTCATGTTGAAAGAATATGGAATTAGTCATTGACACTTTAGAACATTTTACATTAAATATAACATTTCTTTAACATCCAATGTGGCAATAACTGAGATTAAATCCAACAAGAAGATAGATATACATAAATATTGTCCCTTGGATAGAACATTTTCTCATTCTTCAGTTTGCCAAATCTGCTCACCACTTACACGTTCACCTCAGACCTGCAAGGGTCTTGATAGCCTCTGGGTTTGCCAGCCATAATCTACAGTGAGAACAGATCTGTTGATATTGGATCAAAAATGTTGTTTCACTTGTCCCCAGCAAATTTAATCTTTAGAAAAAAATTAATAAAATTTCTGTTTCAATACAGCACAGAAGACTGACTGCAACATATTTAGACTTAAACAACAAAACCCCAGCCCAAGGACTGCCTTTGAGCCATGTAAAATTTATGTGATATAAAATTTCAATTTCCCCTTCTTCCGTGAGAATTTGAGCTATCTCAGCTGAGAGGAATAGAGGGTGATGAAAAGTGGTAAAGTGTTATGCATGAAACTCTATCAGTAACAGTGTTATAATTCACTGCCAAAAGTTTATTTTAAAAGTGCCTGTCATAGATACAGATTGGTGGGTGGGAGGGAAGTTGCAGACATTGGTGGCAGAAAGTGAACATTGGCGAAGGAATTAGTGTTTCAACAATGTATGTCTGAAACCCAATCACAAATAACTGTAATCTATGGTAACTAAATTAAAATTTTTTAAAATTTAAAGAATTTGAGCTGCCTAAGAAATAACAAAAATAACAACAAATAAAATAGGTGTAAAAACCTTGAAATTTTTAAGAAACTAAATAGTTGTATTTGTTCTTTATTTAACTTTACAATAAAAGTAAGTAAGTAAAGTAAGGCCCTCCCGTTGATCATCGATTTGCTCGAGCGGGCCCAGTAACGTCTCCATTGGAGACTTTGTTGTTACTGTGTCTGGCATATCGAATACTCTCGGTATAGCTTGCCGGGCTCTCCGAGAGGGGCGGAGGAATCGAACTCAGGTCGGCCATGTTGGCTGCGTGCAAGGCAGACGCCCTACCCGCTGTGCTATCACTCCAGGCCAACTTCTACAATACTCTACAATATTTATTATCAACTCAGTTCACTGATAAGGAATCTGAAGTTTGATATTAGACCATCACCAAAGATCATTCTGAAAGTTTTTTTAAAAGCAGGACAGAGTAATTAAATGCAATTTTAAAAATAAAATAAAATATTCTTATATTTTCAGGAATCTCTCTCACACACACGTGTGCATGCACACACACACACACACACACCACCACCACCACTACCACCACCACCACCACCACCAGAACCACACATCTCTCTCTTTCTCTCTCACACACACACCAAATCCATCTCTCTCTCTCACACACACACCACATTTATTTCTCTCTTTCTTCCTCTCTCTCTCTCACACACATACACACACACCACAAACCTGGGAATTTGTGATAAAATATCTGTGCATTGAAAATTATAGAACACTTTAGAAGAAATAGGAAACACAAGGGAATGAAAAGCTATTATGTACCCATGCATTGAAAAACAGAACTGGCATTGTTACAGTGAATATCTTGCCAGGATCAGATATATAACCAAGTAGTTGAATGTTTTCTTTATAAATATGACAACCTGAGTTTAATTTCCAGCACCCATCCCTCATATAATCATCCAATCTAAAGTAATATATGCATTCAGTAAATTAAGACTGGAGTGATAGCACAGCGGGTAGGGCGTTCGCCTTACAAGCAGCCAACATGGCCGACCCGAGTTCGATTCCTCCGCCCCTCTCGGAGAGCCCAGCAAGCTACCGAGAGTATTCAATATGCCAAACACAGTAACAACAAAGTCTCCAATGGAGACGTTACTGGGCCCGCTCGAGCAAAATCGATGATCAACGGGAGGGCCTTTACCTTTTAGTAAATTAATAATATGGATTTAAGGTGAGCATTAATTATAATTGCATTTTTAAAAAATATAATAAACATTACTAAAATCTGTATGAAAGCACAAAGTACTCCCCAAAACTCAATCCATCCTAAGAAGAGGAAGAATGGTGATAAAGCATTCCCTGGTTTCAAAGTCTACTACAAATGGTAGTAATTAGAACAGAACAGTACTGGAGCCAGCAAGATAGTACAGGGTTTTAGGCACTTGCAGGATGTCCCTGGTCCATCTCTAGTACTTCATATGGCCCCTCCAACCACCATTAGGAGTTACTCCTAAGCATAGATGAGTTCTGATGGATGTGGACCAAAGCCATACAAAACAGTAACCAAAGCAGAGTAGGACTTGAATGAAAATATATACACAGATCAGTTGAACATCACTGAAAGCCTAGAAATAAACCCACATTTATATGAACTGTTAATTAAGGCAAACAAATAAGGAGAAATGTGATGAAGAAAGGAAACTCTAGCAAATGCTGTTGGGAAGACTAAACAGACACAGTATGAAGGTAGACTACTAATTTATGTCATATACAAAATTCAGTTAAACTGAATAAAGGACTTGGATAGAAGTCTAAACTATTGTAAAAAGTAGAGAAATCATAGGCAATATGCTCTGTGACAATGACCTCATTGATGCCTTTGGGGTCTCTATTCCACCAATTAGAAAAACAAAGGATATTGTAACAACCTAAATGCCTAAAAACATGTGATTGGATAAAAAAGATGTGGCATATCTACATAGTGGAATACCATTAAACCGTTAAAAATATGAAATTCTACTATTTGTAAAAACATAGATGTAGAGGATTATGTGAAGCAATGAGAGGAGAAAAGTGATACTGGAGGATTCCACTCAAAATGTGGAAGATAAGAAAATAAAGGAACACACAAAACCAAACCAAATCAAATTTTGTGATTCTGACTGGAGAAATAAAGTGAACAGAGGGAGAGGGAACAAAGGATTGAACCCATATTTTGATGATGCATTTTGGTGAGGAGCATGTGTTTTAACACATATTTGAGGAGATATAAACATGTACTTTAAAAACATAT